CCCTCGCGCAGAGCCTATTTGATTTGCCTCCCGAGACACTCAGGTCGAGAGCGTAAGGTGCAGCGGCGGCTGCACGACTATTCCTTCAGTCGTGCAATGTCGTGAAGGGTTAGGCCCTCACGACACTTCAAGTCTGACACTTGAGTGTCATAAGTGGTACTCGGATCCACGAGGGACCGCTTGATTATGGGCACTACATAGTACGCCATCGTTGCGACTGCTTGTGTACGCCTGCATTGCAAGTCGATATGAGTAAGCCCTGCGTCCGCTCGGTTTTATACTAAGTTCAGCGCGCGACGCCTATCCGATTTCCGCATTGGAAAGTTATGGGTTGGCTACCGAGGGGCTAGGAGCGTTGTCTCGTTGTTGGTATTGTGTCGTTTCGTATATATGTTGTTTTGTGTGTATGCGTGTTCGTAAAGTGGAGTGCGCGTGGTGTGTCCCGTGCGGGTCCGATAGAGGCGTATTACCGTGTGTACCCCCTATGCTACAGCGAACGAGAAACGCCCTCGACTGGTCCACCTCTGCGATTGCAACTGATTAGCTTTCGTACTTTGGACTGGTAGCTCGGCGGGGATACGCCCACCGAAGGGAGGTGACAACTCCCGTAAGGTGTAGGTAAGTCGTGCCTCGCGTAGGCCCTATCCTGTCGTAGGGGCTCGCGAGAGGTATGGATGGCGCACTCGGCCGGAGCGGCTTGCGGAAGCTCCATATATATTTGTGACGAAGGAATTAAACCAACTCCTGCGTGACGCGGCCGGGAGGGTCCCGCGCTGCCCCCGTGCGGTGTCGGACCGATGCCCCCGACACCGCTTTGCTTCTCATTTCTGGCGTGGACTCTATGAGATCTATGGCTCCGAGCTCCGCCTCTCCTCCTCCTATCACCCCCAGTCCGATGGACAGACCGAGGTCACCAACAAAACTCTTGGGAGTATCCTCAAGAAGTTTGTTGAGAATGACTCTGATTGGGATTTGCATCTTGCTCACGCAGAGATTGCTTATAACCATGCTATTTCCCCTGCCACTGGCATGTCTCCCTACTACTGTGACTTGGGATACCATCCCCGTGTCCCATCTGATCTTCTTCGTCCATCTCAGATCCATCCCGACACCAAATGCCCTGCCCTCGATGACTGGGTAAAGGAGATGGATGCGCTCCTTAGCAAGGCTCGCNNGAGCATTGCTCACTCCCAGACTCGCATGGCCACTCGCGCTAACCGCTCTCGCATCGACCATCCCTTCAAAGTTGGCGACGAGGTYCTTGTCGACGCACGTCACTTCCAGCCCGAAGCTGACACACTTCGGAAATTCAGACGTCGATACATTGGTCCATGCACCATTCTTGCACCTGTTGGACCCAATCACGATTGTCCGGTAAACTTCAAATTGAAGCTCCCCGATTCCATGTACCGYGCTAACTTACATGATGTGTTCCATGTATCTCTTTTGCGCCCCTTCAGACGGTCTCCCCCCGAGTTCCATGGTCGACCTTACCCTCGCCCCTCYCCCATCATCATTGAGGGTCACGAGGAGTTTGTTGTCTCTGATATTGCGTCCCGACGTATGACTGATGGTGACCCTCCCCGCCTCGAGTATCTCGTTCGATGGAAGGGTTATCCTGACGAGGAGTCTACTTGGGAGCCTCTTGAGCACCTGAAGCATGCTATGACTTTCGTGCGTGCTTATGATCGTGCTCATCCTTTCCCTTCATCATCCTCCCCTCCTACTTCTCGTCCATCTACTACTGACCCGTCTACCTCTGCGACCACTAACATTCCCCCTCCTCCATTGATGGGTCTGCCTGCTCCACCGGTACCAAATCTACAACCCTATGTTTTTCATTTTGGAATCGGACTTCGTTTAAGATTCAAAAAAAATAAAAAATGAAATTTGATTTAAACAAAATATTTAAAATAAAATAAAACGAAAAGCAGGATTTTTTTCTGTAATTTTTTACCATGAGGGATATGGTCCTTGAGCTAGCTTTCCCCCCCCGGGCGCCCGGGGCACATGAGCCCGCCCAGAATGGCGCTCGGGGTGCTCGGCCGTGCAACCCCCCCGTCCAGGCACCCGGGCCCCCTCAGCGCCGAACCGGAAACGACCGCAAAAAAAAAAATTCACGCCGCCGCCCGCTGGCCCTCAGGCCAAAAAAGTTTTTGTAGGCTGGCGCGCTTTTTTTCGGAGCCCGGTAGGCCCCTTTCTTGAAGTTTCATTATTTTCAATTCTTGGTCGTCGATCGCCAGCGATCGACGGCGCTCGTAGTTCCCAGGATTCGAATTCGAATCCTGGGCCGGTCTGTCCCCCCCCGATGCCCCCCGTCCTCCGCCCTCCGCCCTCCGCCGTCCACCTGCCCACCCTTCGCCAGAAGCTTGTGTCGTCGTCGCCCTCCTGCCGCGCCGTCGTCGTTGTCGTGCTGCCCCTACCACCATTGTCGTCGTCGTGCTGCCCCTGCCGCCGTCGTCGTCGTCCCGCTGCCGTGCCATCGTCGTTGTCGTGCTGCCGCGCCATCGTCGTCTGCTACCTTCCCCTCGACTTCCTCGAGTACCGCTGTGCGCCATCTCCACGAAGGCTCGAACTTCGAGGTAAGTTTTTCGTTTTTTTTTTCGCTTCTTCTTCTTATTATTATTATTATTTCTTCTTCTTCTTCTTCTTCTTATTACTATTATTATTATTATTATTTCTTCTTCTTATTATTATTATTATTACTATTATTATTATTATTTCTTCTTCTTCTTCTTCTTTTTCTTTTTCTTCTTCTTTTTCTTTATTTTCTTCTTCTTCTTCTTCTTTCCGTCGACTTCCGTTTTTTTTCCCTCACCTCAGTCACCTCGTTTTTTTTTTCACCTCGTTTTCCCCTCACCTCAGTCACCTCGTTTTCACCTCACCTCGGTCACCTCAGTTACCTCGTTTTTTTTTCTTCCTCTTGGCTTCTTCTTCTTCTTGTTTTTCTTTGTTTCTTCTTCTTCTTCTTCTTCTTCTTCTTCTTCTTCTTCTTCTTCTTCTTCTTTGTTTCTTCTTGTTTCTCGTTCCCCCTCCCCTTTCCATGACGCCCGCCCTCTCTCTTCAGCCGTAGCCCCCCACCAACTCTATGTGATCAGCCGCCATTGACCCCTCCTCCCTCCTTTCTCATAGCGCCCCTCCCTCCTCCCTCTCTATTTTCTCGTTCCGTCCCCCCCTCTCCATCGCCTCCCTCCTTCCTCCCGCCCTCTTCGTCGCCTGCATCCTCCTCTCCTCTCCATTGCCTCCCTCCTCTTCGCTCTTCATCATCCTCCCACTCCCTCCTCCGCCATAGGCTCCCTCCTTCCTTCCGCCATAGGCTTTCTCCTCCCTCCTCCCTCGTTCACATAGCGCACCCCCTCCCCCCTCCTCCTCCGCTCAATCATCATCATCAAACTCCCTCCTTCCTCCCGCC